ATGAAGTAAACCTCAGGGGGAGAATATTCCAAAGGTAAGGGAAAACTATTGCAAATGTGCATTGATGAGAAAGGAGGAAATACCTGAGTTCAATGTGAAGTGAATAAAGGCATAGAGAATTGAAAAGAAGAGAATGTGTTGGTAGAGATTAATGTTAGAATTGAGATACTTAAGTTAAAAGAATCTTGAACTGAGTATGATCAAATAGAGAAACCTGGTCAAGGAGTGCTGTAGAGGAGCAACCTATCAAAATATAGTGAAGGAAAATATTAGACATGCAACAGAGGTGAATGTGGCATAAATGTAGGAATTACAACATTAAGGAAAACATTGCATTGGTCAGTCTGAGAAACATAGATTAGATTCTGTTACAAATCTTGCTGTAACCTTTTGTACAGCCTGAAACATCTGATCCTGCTTAATTGTGGCTGCTAAGCAGAGTTGGGCCTGAATGAAATCTGGATGGGTAACTTAAATATTTTGACTTCATATTCTGACTGAAGTGGCAGAGATGGCTTCAGGTGTGACACTGGAGAAACCCAGGATAGTGGTGACTTCAGCTCTGCAACTCCAGCCCAGGGCATCCTTGGCTCCACAACAACGAAAGGGGATGTTTGAATTTGTCATCAGTTCAACAGAGAAAGTAGGGCACACCCTCAGTCTGGTCTTGGCTCTGAGCAGTGCATGTAGGAGGTTGGGTCCAAGTAATGATCTTGACATGGTAAGAGTTAAACTCATGACATTACTTCCATGAAAAGGGGGTGGGGAACCTATTTGGATGGTCCACCCCAAGGGAGTAATAAAATCCAATGGATTTCTGAACACTCTGGAATTTTCCAGTGTAGGAAGCTGGTTATCCTGCTGAGGTCCTAGTCTCACTGTGGAGTGGGTAAGTGCAGAGGACCACCAGTTTGGTTATATCTGACTGCCCGTTCTGTTGCTGCAGAGCTCTCTCCGCTTCTCGCTGTATCAGAGAGTTGTAGACAATGAAACCAGTCAAATCTTGCTAGAGTGTAAATGGTGTCTCAAGGGAGGATGGCCAGACATTTTCTAGAATACAATTGCTCCTCCTGTACTGTGGTGCAAGCAGCAAAGAAGGCATCTTTTGCTGCTTCCATTGCCTACTTGCATCCAGCAGAGCACTTCAGATGGTCTGTGCATTGTTAATAACTCCTCGCAGGAATCGAAATCTTGACCCCTTTGTCACTCTTTCTCAACTTGAGGACAAAAATCACTTGTCTGTATGGCAAGCTTGATGCTATTCTTACCACAACCCCAATCATAGTACCTGATGCCACCTTCTGTCTGATTTTGAGAGACCATTTCAGTTTTTACATCCAAATGTGGACAAAGTGCTTGCAGCAATGCTACTGATGAAATATCCCGTAATCATTGCTGTTCTTGGCTAATAGGAGGTAGCTAGGAGTGGGGTATGACTGGATGGGTTCAGGAAATAGCAAATGGATCTGGGTGGAGATTGATCACTACTGTGGCACAATAAAAATTTCTAATAGGCACTTGAGGTTTCCTTTCTTTTGTTATTCCTGCTGAAGGAGGCTGTCCTGCAACTCCTGCTGTGGTCCATCAGGCAGGGACCACACAGTAATAAATGCCCTTTTCTCAGGGAAGGTACTTGAGAAGGTTGTGACAGGGCATTAACTGGATCAGTTTCAATCTGGGTTTAGGCTTTGTTACAGGATTTAATCGACATCAGTCAATATGATGGATGAGCTTTATCAAAAGGACTCCATCCTTTAGTTCTATTGACACCAACAGCCATGGTACTTTCCTTACTTAGAAGCAAGCAGTACAAGCCTCAGAAAAAAGCAGGTTTGAAGCACCCCTCCCTTGGCTCTGCACTTTCTTCCTTACAGGGGAAAGCAGATTTACTAAGGAATTACTGAAAGAGGAAAACATTTTTCAGTGCTAAGTAGTGGACAAAATGCTTCAGGTGCTAATTGGTGATTAGAGCAGAAGGACCTGGCCAGGGGAAGAAGCTGCTAGACTGGATGGGGAACCTCAGTTGGACTAATCAGTCCTGTGTGCTGAGAATTCCCCACCTCTGCTTTAAATGCCTTGAAAGCCCTACATCTGGGGCCTGGTTATTTGAAAAACCGCTTGCACTCATTATGAGCCAAACTGGACACTGAGAGATCAGACTCGGAGATCTACTAGACCAGTCAATATAAAATGTAGGGTCTTCAGTAGTGGCCCCATGTTTGTGGGATTCTTTCCCTAGGGTTGTATGTATTGCCTTTATTCTCCTGGGTTTTAAACAAATGGTGAGAACTTATTTTTATCTCAGTTTGCTGTTCAACATATAATTCTCTACATATTTTAAATCACTTACTTTTACGCTATAATATTTTAGTTTTATATGGTGGTATTATGGCTATATTATGCTTTTTCTACAAGCTGTATTAGGTATGGGGTTAGGAAGGGGTTAACCTTAACAGGCAACATTCTGAAAGATATGCAATAAATATATGAAGATTTCCAGCAAATGTGATGACATACAGATGGCAGAACAGTGCTGTGGACACACATAATATAGCTTTAGAAGAAAATAAAGGCTGCATCTACATTTGCTCTTTGCCATATAATGTTTCCTATAAAGCCACATTCAACTTACCTAGAATGCCGCTGCTGAATAGACACCTAGGATTATCAGCTGGAGTGCGAACACCTGCAGCACTGAAGCTGCTTACAGAAATGCTGATTATGCCAGCTTGTCCTGTAAAGCAATTATCTGTTTCTCAAGCATATTTTAAGCAAGGTATAATAGGCATTTTGCCTATAGTATTATTTGTAGAGGATAATGACTTTTGCAAAAGATGTGTGTGTAGAAATGTGTGGGAGTTTTGTTACAAAATCTGCTCAAGCCTGAGTACATGCACAAGACAGACTAATCTTAAGGGATACTACTGGAGGTATCTCTACTGTCTTTGAATCGACACGGAACTCCTCATCCCTTCTACATCTGGACTGAAGAGCCCAAAACCAAGATTCTGCCATGCCCATAACTATCGAACCATTTATAATTATAAAAGCTACACTGGGATCCAGTCCTGTCAAAAATGGCTGTAACATAATCAAAGCTGTGAAGCAGTTACCACTAGATGGCACTGCTCATGAGAGAGTTAAAGTATGAGCATGTGAACATTGCAAAGGCCTCTGAAAAATTCAGAAATGGTCTTCCTGGTCTTCAGCTAACATGAGCTCTCTGATAACTCCTGGTGTGCATGAAATAGTACACGCAGTAGGCCACTGACATTCTATGTAATCACAAAAGTCATTTCCTTTTCAATGCATCACTTGCAACACTAATTAAATGGCCGATCACTACTTCTGTGCATGCTTATATAGCTCCATGCAGAGGAAAAAACATATGAGAATCGCCCTTAACTGCAAAGCATACTACAGAATCTAGGTTGGCTAAAATAAGCCAGAGTCATCAATCTATAGGCAAAACAGTAGTAGGCCAAAATAAATTACAGGATGTAATCCACACTATGTACACAATGGAGCTTGTTCCTAGTTCTGTGGAGCAGGAGAATCTGTTATGAAATGAGGATTATTTTTGCCTGCTTATGACATACAAGAGAAAACAACAAACCACCAGAAGCGATCTTGATGTTTCTAACTCAAATTTTGAAGCCAAAGAAGGGGGAGTGTTGTGAGGGTGGTGAGGAAAATATTGCAGCTCTATTTTCACAGTATCACATGATGTCAAATTAAAATGTGAAAAGAAACTTGGGATAGCAGTGACTGCATGTAAGACAGGGCTGCAATAAAAACCTCATGAAAATTTAGTGTATAATTATAATCCATGTTTTCAAGTCATGAGAAATAATAATCCCAACTTTATTCTACACCCCTCATACCTCAGTAGGAGTACTGTATCCCGTTCTGGGTACCACATGCTAAAAAGGATGTTGACAAATTAGAATAGGTCTAGAGATGAACAACAAATTGGTGAGGAGGACTAGATTTCAGCTGAACATTAGGAATACCTATTGCTAAGAGCAGTTCAACCATGGAACCAATTACTTGAGGATAACACTTCCTCCCTGGAGGTCTTCAAGAGTCTGGAAAGTTGAGTGGGAGATGCTGATGCTGAGGATTTCTTGCAGTGAGGAAGAGACAGGACCAGATGGCCACATGGCTACAGCCAGCATTGCTATGCCAGCTCCGCTATGCATCACTCTATTACAAGTTATGAATTTAGAGAGTATTATAAGATACATTCTTTAAAAAGATTTCAAACATGCAGCAACCTTAAAAATCATTTGGTTGAAATTCATAAATACTGACAGAGAAATGAATGAGATGTGTTCCAATTGTTTTCAAAAATAACCTGCCAAAGTTCGAATAAGATACATCACTTACCATAAAGCCACTGTTAGCAAAACCTGATGCAGTCACAAAGAACAGCCGTAAGAAGTTCTTCCTTGAGCCTTCATTCAATTTGGACAAGTTGTGGGACAGATGGCCAACTGATCCTCCAATTTCTTAATGGCTTTAGGATGTTGCCTTCCTACACTAAATTTGGTGAGCAATTTGGTGGCTGATAAAATAAACTCCTCCCTGCTTTTTTGCCCAAGATTATGTTTCCCTATAGTGCCTCTTCTTCAGAATGGAACCATCACACCCCATTTCCACTGTCCCTTGCTTTTTATAGCAGCAAGCCCTGTCAGTAGCTCTGCCTTGTATAACTGTGTTTTGGACAGAACAGCCATTGTCTTCTTGACCCAGGGAAGCATATAAGCAAAAGTTTTGGGAAAAAAAACCCTTTCAATACAATCCCATTTAGAAAACCTGTCAATAAAATACCATGTATAAAATTGGTGAAAGGACCCCCTGAAAGCTCCCATGACACCTTAAGCTGATCACCACCAACCTAACACCACTCTAGTGAAGATCTTATATAGCATAAACAAAAGCTTGGACTGGGGGAAAGGGAAAACAGTGTTGCATTTCCAGACATGTATTTTGGCATATATACACATATTTTAAAAGCTGCAATCTTAAGAGACATCCTTCCATGAAATATTTTTTCATATTCATAATACATTGTTAACATCTATGAAAAACATTACAAAACTTTTTTTTTAATTTAACAAGTAGAAAAATATTACTAGTTTATATAGCAATCAGAATTCTAATACTGTAGAGAAGTATTTAATTGATTTTCAAATAAATTACAGTTTAAATACCTTTCATTTGTAAATGTGCTTTCTATAATTTGACACCATATTCAGTGCCAGTCAAATGTTCTGCCAACAAGCTCAAAGAATTTCTGATTAGGTTCATGAAAATATCCATGCAGTTTTTCAAGTAAAATTGGATCTACTTTGGGGTGTGCTCTTCCTTTTGACTCATGTAAACACCTGTCCCTACCACTGTCTCTTAGGCAGTAAAAGCCTTTTGTTTTATTGAAGTAAAAGTTTGAAGCATTTATCTGAGGTGACAGCTTTAAAAATCTTTCTACTTTTACAATTTCTGGGAATGGATCTTTGATAAGCTTGTCCCCATCTACAATGTGAATGTGATCCAGTGGAAAATATTTCAACCAGTTTTGCATGTGAACATAATACAAGCTCCTGTTTATTGCCTTGTAGTTTGTATTCAGTTCACCATCTTTAACTAGGAATTCTTCGATGGAGGGATACGACTTATGTTTTTGCATGTGATTGAAGAATACTTGCGTATAGTCTGACAAAACCCTCTCAGTTGGATCTCGCAAAATAAGAAGCAATCGGATAAGCTTGTTCATTTTGTAAACTCTTTCAGGCACTTTGGGACAGGTGAAATACGCTGGAGTTTTCTCCACAGTTATCTGATGGGGGCAAGAGAGGGGCATTTGGTTAATGTACCATTGGAATCCATTCCTGTAATGTTCTTCCCAGTCAAAAAAGTGGACTTCACTTTCTGCTGCTGCTATATCTGGATGCAGGCTTAACATTTCTAATAAGGCTCTTGTTCCACCTTTCCTCACACCAATGATGACAGTCTGTGGAAGTTGCTGGAGTGTTCCATTTGGACTGAGGCATTCTTTGAAGTCATTTTTCTTAAAGGGCTCTTTCTGAGCACTAGCTTCAGCCTTTGAGCTGGTAGCTGGTCTGGAAGGCACTGCCTGAGGTTGCGCAATAAGCAATGCTGCCCCCAGCAAAAAAATGGCCATGGCAAAGGTCCAGTCTTTCACGCTACTGGCAAACAGGAGACCATTGTGAGGAAGCTGAGGTTCTTTTCTGATGAAATAGATATTCACTAGGTACAAAAAAGAAGCAGGTTAGCAATATCACTTCAAATAATGCACCAGGACTCAGTATTATGTTTATGTCAACATAAGGTCCAAGGGATTTGATCTAATTATCTTGCCCTTATGAATATTCAACACCCACCTAGAGAAATATTGATAATTTTTATTATTCTTGTACTAAACATACATTTAGAATGCATGGTTTCTACACCAGGTTTTTGATGGGGCTCTGCTGGTACAAGAAAGGTGTTCTGTGCTTGCTTTTTTACAGATACGTTTTCTATTAAGCAAAGGTAGCTATAATGGCCACAAAAAAAAATTCCAAAGGACTTGCTCCCCCACCAGATAAATCCACATCCTTTATGAGTTCAACTCAAGATCATAAAGCTGTGCAAACTGGGCAAGATGATAAACAAGACAAAAGTAAATAGTTTTTGTATGTGATGCATCTGTATTTATTCATCAACTCACAGTTGCTTATAGGTTCTTTATGACATAATGAGTTCCAGATTTGCTTTTGTGTCTAATCAGCTCTCTCTTTGTTTTTTTTAACAGCAGGTTAAATTGTGGAAGTGAAAGAAATCATTAATTTTCTCTTGTGCATTTGTTCTATTCCACTATACTATAGTGCCACCTAGAGGTTATGAAGCAGAGAAGGAAACCATGCACTGCTTAGACCTCAGTTCTGTGGTGATTCCAAAAGTAGAACTGATTGGGGGCTTTTCTACATGAGGCTGTCAATCAGCACTGTGATACAGCAGAATAGCAATCAGTAAAGACATGAGATACAATCACACTTTCACAAATAAATATTGTGTTTTACCCGCTCTAAAATGAAAGTTCTGGTTGGACACAGAAACTGTAACATCACATTGTTGTCTAAAGAATCTGGAAACAACCCTAAGTAGAGATTGACAAGTGAATGACAAATGTTTGATACAGAAAAGTTCCCAGCACACCATTTAAAATTATCTCTAGCTTTATTAACTCAAAATTTTTCTAGGTTTTATCTACTTCTGCCTTCTACCACCAAGGTACCTGTAAACCCTTCAAAGATGTTTTCTTTTTCAACCTTATCTGAATGTGGATCTCTTAGAGTAGGAATTGCCTTCTTAGATGTAGATGCCCTTCTTGCCAAGTTGAAAGAATCCTGAAACATGGGTGTGTGGCAGGGCCGTCTTAACTCATGGGCCTGATGGGCACTTGCCCGTGGGCCCCATACTAATCTGTGTATGTTAACCCTTCATTTTTACATTTTTATTCCTGTGAGTAGTTGTCGTAGGGGTTCCAGTACACTGCTTTGCCTGGGGCCCATAATGCTGTTAAGACAGCCCTGGTGTGTGGATCTCATCAAAACGTGCAGGGTTCACAGAAGGCATAGCCAGTAGCAGAGCCTTTAAGAGTGCTGGATTGGGACTTGGGGATCAGCTCCCAGGTCCCATCTGACCCTGAAGCTTTCTGGGTGACTTTAACCCAATCCAAAATCCCAGGTTTGTTATGAAGTTAAAATGTAGATGAGAGAGCCATCTAAGGCTGTCTTTGGTTCCTTTATAGGAGGCAGAAAAGTTGAGATACAAATGTAATAAGAAAAAAACCCTTTGTAGCTGCACCCCCTTCCCACTATCCACTTCAAGAATGCCTCAAAATGAAGGTTGCATCGGCCACTCCACTCCTTCCTCTCACCCCACCCCTTTTGCTTCCCCCCCCAACAGGTACAGTGGTCTGGATTTTGAAAAAATCATTTTGGAATGTCTTGATATTATTAACAATGTGAATATAACCAATCTGTGTCTGCCATATAAATGTTTTGCCTCAGTTAAAAACATATCCAGAGGGATAGGCATGTTAGTCTTTTACATCCAAAACAGCAAAGATTTTTGTGATACCTTAAACAATAAATATGAACTTGTTCACTGTGGTTTAAGCCAGGGTGGTCCAACATGTGGCGTGCAGGTTGAACGCGCCCCCTGGGCTCTTGTTCTCTGGCCTGCTTGTCACTGGGAGCCACCCCCCTCCAGCCTGGATCCCAGCGATGGCATGGGCATGATTGTGGTGAGCTCTCCTGAGGCCACTGGCCCAACCCACTCTGTTCCTGAGCCTCAGGAAGGGAGTGGAATGGGACAGCGGCCTTGGGAAAGCTTGCCCAGCATGCTCCACACCACTCCAGTTGATGAGTGCCTTTGTGCTCTTTGTGGGGTGAGTTCATTGGCTCACGTACAGGAGGCTCAGCGTGCCAATTCCGAGAAGGAAGGAAGGAAGGGCCAGGGGGTCACATGGGAGGGTTTCTGCATGGGAGAAACAGGGAAGGGATGGGCCATCCCAGAGGAGCAGTCACTGTGCTTGGGCTGTGGTCAGAGAAGGAGCTGCCTATGTTCTCTAATCATGTATATTAAATTAAATACATATATTGCAAAGACTGATTTATGATATGGAAATGTAATTCACTGTGCAGTCCTGAGCTTCCATGCTGAAGTCCTCATGTGGCACTTGAGGTATGAAAAGTTGGACTCCCCTGGTATAAGCTTTCTTGAATTTCTTGAACCATACATGTGCATGGAAGCATCTTTTACCTTAAGTACTTTAATTTTTAAAGTGCCAGAAAATTCTATTTTTTCATGCTGAAAATGTGGAAAATCAGAAAACAAGCAAAATCAAAAGGATAGGCAGCCCAGTGCACTATTTTGTCACTTCCAGCTGGGCAGCAGTTCTGACACTGACCATCTGCTTGCTTAGCCAGTCATCTTGTCCACTCGATTGCATAGCTGGCTAGCTTGGCTTGTTGCTCACTCCTGCCTTGTATCCTAGCTGTAGGGCTCTTCCAGGAGGTCAGCCAAACTACTGCCAGGAATGGGTTGACCTCTCATAGGAAACCCCGTGGCTGGGGCACAAGAGCAGGAGCAACTGAGTATCCACCTGGGTGCGCTAGCCACACAAGTGAGAGAGCAACTGGCCGCCTGAGCATATAAATAGGTAGGGCCACTGCCAATCAGCCAGAGGTGTTGGTAGCTGCCACTGTGCTCCGCAGGGTACTCCAGAGAGCCCTGCAGGTTGCTATCTTCCTGCTGCAAGTTCCAGGGCAGGAACGGGCTGTTAGAGCTCTCCAAAAAACTGGCTGAAATTGTGGGGGAACAATGGCAGGCCCTTTGAGCAGGGGCAGGGGGGGCTGAGTGGGGTAACTTGCTCTTCTTCCCACTCCACTCTCCAGTCTGGGTACATCAGCCTGTGTAATGGTAGGGCCAGCCCGAAGACAGACATCAGAAATGCTTATATGCTAAGCCAAATTATAAAGTATTCACTATGTTCTAATACCTGATCAGAATTGGTGCATGTTTTATTTCTAAAGCATACTGCAGAGAGAGAGAGAGAGAGAGAGAGAATATACCACTAGAGAGGTGGTCCTTGTTCTGCCTCAGTCTTGCTGACTGAAACCCAAATTCTTTTTCCACACCAGGGCCAAGCCTGCTTATTTATGCAGCCCCATCCTAGTTTTGTCTTTTGGCCATACTAGAGTGACAGAACACCAGAACTGGATTTTGATAATTTATGAAGTACTTTGATTTAATCCAATCTAGCCCTTTCAAAATTAACAGGACAAAATTATCTTACATACAAATGCTTCACTGGGTTGTAAATCATGTTGACATTATGGATCAGGTTAATTTAAGACAGTGATGGGAAACCACATTCTAGTAGAAGAAAGGACAAGAATGACCATTGGAAGCAATAGTGGAAGAGCCAAAAATAATTGAGATGACTGAGCTCCATTGAAATCAATGCAAAGTACAACTGAACCACAAAGAAAAGCAAAAATTGATTCTGAAAGGAAATTGAATGGGCCAGAGGAACAGAAAATAAATTATTCATATAGCCCTGTTTTGTTATTTTAAAAGTTTACTTTTATATTAAAGGTGGTTTCTTAAATAAAGCCAATTTACCACCTTGAAGAGGAGAACAAAAGGGGAATAAAAATGATATATGAAGTCCCAGCACTCCTTGTGCATAAGGAGAAGGGGCAGACAGCTGGTGGGTAGGTGGCAGGACAGAAGGGACAACGCACTTCAATAATCAGCTTCCAGAGCAGTTGCAGGGTTATGCCTTCTCAGGAAAAAAAGAAGCCCCCCTACCAAGAATCTAGCGACACCTTAAAGCCTGACAAATTTATTATGGCATAAGCTTTCTTGGACTAGAGTTCACTTGATCATATGCATAAAGTGCAATATTCAGCTGGCAGGCAGATGAGCCTTGATGGATTTCAAGTCCATTCACTTAAATCTGGAAGCAACCACTGCAACAATATTCACCCGTCATCTTCAGGACTTGCAGACCCCAAACACTGACAGAGGTATGCATCCATGTTCCATATCGCCATTGCTGTGGCCTGGCAGAAAAAGCCCATTTCTTCATGCTGTAATTTCAGAAATGTGGGATTCTGAATTAAAGAACAATAACTTCTGAATTAAATCATTGTGTATATGGGATGGAACTGTGGTATATCAGTGCAAAGCAGTCTATAGCTTATATTGGATCTCTCAAAATAATATTATGGTCTTGTTAGCATTAAGAAACATGGAATTAGGAAACTTGTATTTTTCTGAGGCTTAGGTACATCCTCAAAGGTAAAACAACTGCTTTGCTTGTATAAGAGGCTGATTTCAGTTTTTAGTATTCTCCGTTTAAAAATTTCAGGATTCTGTGCTGGGGAAGTCCCCATTAGAAAGCCACTTTGTTAGAATAGCCAGTGTATGCTTAGATGGACCAAGAGTATCACACAGTAATAAAAGATTGCTTCCTACACCCAGATATGAGAGATTGGTGGCATTTCCATTTAAAAGCTGAAAGGCAGACTCTGAAGGCAGACTTCTGCTGTGTGTGTGTATATTTTTAAGAAACAAAAGTATTCAGCTTCAGAAGATAAAAATTTATTGTGCTGCATGAAACTGTTCCTAGAATTGACTTCTCTACACCAGCTACCTAGCTAGTAGGTACCTCAGCTAGTTCTCCTTCAAAT